CCACACATAAGCAATGCACACATTAAGGTCTGTGTAGGGCTACAGGAAAGCAATTAATAGCATTATAAGGTTAAAAACAGTCATCCTTCAGTTCCAAAAAACAGAATGTGAGGCCAATATGTATATGAATAGCTTTTGCCATAAAGTAAGAGAAAGACAAATAGAATCTTTGCAGGATCTAATTGTAAAAGTGCAAACTTCCAAGCGACACAGAAGTGCTTATCAGACAGAGTACAAAGAGAACAAATTGTATTCAGAATCTGTATTAAAGCAATAATTTTACTAGTCAAACTGAATATTCACAAAAAATATGTAGTCTTTCAAGTTTCCAAAAACTCTTCATCAGGAAATTATATTCAGCTATTTGGAGAAAGCAAACACTCCAATATTATGTTACACCATTCCCGAGAACATAAGAATAGCTCTGGTGGGTCAGCCCATCTTAGTCCAGCACAGTGGGCAACCAGATCTCCCTGAGGTGCCCAAGCAAGACATAGACACATTTCCTTTCCTACCACTAAGCCTGCTGACCCCAAGCTGGAGGTAACTTTGAATCTTGTTTGGTGGTTTGATGAAGGCCGCATTCAGGGAGATAAGCATTTCCTTAGCCCCCAGCAGGAGCGTGGGAAGGTTAAGAAGATGAGACTGGCACCACCCTAAGGAATTCACAGTGTTTTGGCTTGCGGGCTTGGGAAGTTTACATTCAGTCTGGAGAGATTCTGTCTTGGAGGTGGAAGCTAATAAATGCAACAGAATTGTATCTGTACTATCTCGTGGAGTTCTTTGGGCTGAACCTGACAAGTCTTCAACATTGATAGACTTGTTCTCCATGAATTGATCCATTCCCCTTTTAAAGCCATCCAAATTAGTGGCCATCATGTCTTGGAATACCGAACACCCAAATACCCTTTTCTTCTGTCTTACTACCCACTGCTGTGCTCGCACAATATGTTTAACCAGATTGGTTAAATAACTAGTACCTGCAGCAAGTTAAGTTTTCTTTGTTCCCTTTTTGTGGCTTAGTTTGATATGCAAATCGAGCCTATTTGGTTAGCTTAATGTTCAGTGTCTTGTGGAAATCAAGAAAAAATGGAAACTAAATTATATGTGTAGTGCAAACACAGTCAATGCTAGTGTCTGATCTCTCCTTCCATTTACATCTTAACCATCTAAAGCAGAATGTAAATTAGGATAAAGTGTCACCCCTCCATTCTATGCAGAATTTTCCCACTCTTGGCATTGAAGGAACATAGAATCATGGAGTTAGAAGGGATACCAAGCGTCATCTAATCCAGTGTTTCACAGCCTCAGCAACTTTAAGATGTGTAGACTCCCCAATATACGAACATTTCAAGGGTCGGCTTATCTGTGGGCGGCACATTTCTCATGATATTTTGGTTAAAAATTCAAGGGTTGGATTATCCATGGATGGGCTTATCCACAAGTATATTCAATAATAAAAAAGTAGTCTGCTTCTGAATTACACCAACAGCAGCTCTCCAGGAATTCAGATGTACTTTAGGGTACTTTTAAAAAATATTACTGTATATACTTGCGGATAAGCTTGTCCGTGGATAAGCTGAACCCAATTTTTTGGGTATACTTTGGTACCTAAAATTCTTGGCTTATCCACAAATATATACACTATTATTTTGGTGAGTGGGGTCTGCAGCAGTCAGAACCATGACACAGATTATCAAGCTCTTAGTAGCTGACTCAGCTGATAGCAAGATTCTCCCAGAGTCATCTTTATCCAGATTTATGGAAATGGAATTGGATAAGGTTACAGAAATTCCAGCCACTGGATGATTTTCCCTTTACAACCCAATTTATCAAGCATCATTGCACCAGGTTATCTGAGGAGCCAGCTCGGCCCCATTATATCTGCCTGCCCCACTCAGACTGGCAAAAGGAACATGTTGCAGACCCTGCCAGTCAAGGAATTTTGACTGGCGGGATCTAGGAAGAGGGCCTTTTCTGCCGTGGCCCCTGCTCTGTGGAACAACTTACCACCCAAGGTGTGGTGTGTCCCCACTCTCACGGCCTTCAGGAAGAGTGTGAAATCTTGGCTATGCCAGATGGCCTGGGTGCTGGATGGGGGCTCGCACCAGTGGAAGTGGCTTGTGGGGTAACTGATTTTACCCCCCATCATCCTGAATGTTTTTAGTTTTTTTTATGCATAGGGTTTGTTTTACATAGCTTGAATTTTAATTAATTAACGTATTTTTTAACTGTGGGTTTTACTCTAATTGTGAGCCACCCAGAGTCACCCGTTGGGGGAGATGGGCAGCATACAAATTTAATAAATAAATTAAAAAAATCATAGAATTAGGTTAAAAGTTTCAATATTTCATTAACTAAAGTAATTGAATATATTACATTGTCCTGAAAACTGCAGATCCCTGTTGAAATCCATTTAATATATGAATACCTACAGCAGTAATCAACACAGTATAATTCATAAAATAAGATCAAAAGCTACAGTAAATTCTATCCAAGCACCTGAAAATCTATTCTCATCTAGCAGATCTAGAGAGTTAGAATATTAAGACTTTATGTTAAAAGGAACCAAATTTGGGGTGTGCCACGAGCCCATTCATAGCATTATAATCCAAAAATGGTCCCAATATGAGTTCTGTATCAGATTTATTTTTGAAATATGAACTTATTTTAGACATCAAGGCATCTCCTCCCATAACTTAATTAGCCATTCATTTGCAGAGGAAGCAGTATGTACTTTCCAAAGAATATGCTTGCTGTAGCTACCATGTACAATGCTAGTTGGTATACTTTGGGGGAAATTAGTAAGGTTTAGTAATATTTAACACACAAAAAAAATGCAGTTAGAATTTGTTTCCTTCTCATATAAATTATTTTCCAAAATGGTTTACAACACTGCAACCAAATCTGGAAAAATGGTCCGACCTGATCATTACATTTCCAACCATTTTTAGAGAATGAACTGTCCATTTTAGCAATCAGTACCGGAGTAATGTACCAGCAACAAAACATCTTATATAGTACCAGTTTTCTCAAAGTATTATAGAGAATGTGAATATAATGTTTTTGTCCATTGAAATTTCCATGGTTGCATATAAACTGCCGTACTGTATCGAAATTCTGCATTCATTTAATCATACAGTCTTTACATGTTCAGTTTTTGAGTCACATTTCACCAACAATTTATAAATGAGGCCCAGCAAATGCTCTGAATTTTGTGTTATATGGTTTTCGAATTCAGTCAAGTCTCTAAAAGTTCCCTCTTGTTTTCACAGTTCTTTTAATACAATGGTACTTATTTCAAGGTATGGAAACCAGCTGGGTGGCTCTAGCTTTTCCGAAGAGAAAGTCTCTTGTCTTATTAATCATCAAATTTTGCAGTCTATACCATCTATTACAATGACATGTGAGTAACCAGGGCTGGGATATTCTCCTCGTTTGATTATTCTTATTTATTTTATTCCTGATATGCTATAGTATCTAGCCAGCTTTGGCTGATCTCAGAAAACTAAACAGGGCCAGAGCTGGTTAAGGTTGGATGGGAGACCACCGGGAAATCTTAGGGCTATACAGGTAGTCCTAAGGTTACAATGGCATTTGGGACCGGGATTGCCATTGCTAAGTGATGCGGTTGAAAAACATGACATCATGTGACCGCATTGCTTAGTGACGGCAATCCTGGTGGCCATAGTAAATGCAGGACATGCGGGTCATTTAGCAAGAAGAGGTGGGAGTCTCAGGTAAGGAGCACGGAGGTGTGGGGGGGTGGAGGGTGCCATGGGCAGGTGCTAGGGAGCATGGGCAGGCTGGCAGAGACCGTGGGCAGATTGGTGGAGGCTGCAGGAGGGCTGGAAGAGGCCGCAGAAGGTGATGCAGGTGGGAGTGTGAGCAGGCAGGCGGGGGGTGCTATGGAGTACGAGATCCCTGGGATCTTGTATTCCGTAGTATGTTCCTTGGGAGAAAAAGCAGTAGGAGTGACTTACTAGGGTGACTTGCTGGCTTCCCCATTGACTTTGCTTGTGGGAAGCTGGCAGGGAAGGTCACAAATGGCGATCACATGACCTTGGCTCTCTGCATTGTTGTAATCATGACCTGGGCACCTGAGTGCCCAGATCATGATAACATGACTGCAGGGATGCTGCGACAGCCAGAACTTCGAGGACCGGTCATAAGTCCTTTTTTCAGCACTGCTGTAGCTTTGAACAGTCGATGAATGAATGGACATAAGCCAAGGACTACCTGTAGCCCCAAATGCCTTAGGCTTAAGCACTTAATAACAATGTTTAAGCCCATTTCTTGTTGTGTAGTAACTCCAGATCTTTTCAAACCCACATAAAATATGATCCATCTGTCTTAAACAATAAATGAAAAGTAAACATTTTAAACAAAAGAAAAAAATGAAATGTTTCTTCTGAACACAGCTTAATGTAGACTTTAGAATCTGGGTCCTCCTCCTCTCCTCCCACCCCCTCCCCCAGTACACCCCAGTGAAAGACCAGAGTTATGTCTTCAAAAGTCTTTAGATGGAGCTCAACCAGAGACTGCAACTCTCCAGCAACAACAAGAAAATAATATCTTTGAGAGCCAGGAGAGAACAAAAGCTTAAATTATCCTGTCTCATCGCTGCAAAGCTGTCACTGCTCCGAGACCACCCACACTCCGTGGAGTGCAGTGTAAAGCAACCCCTTTTGTTTGTATTCCAGAACTCACAATGGCCATATAGAAAGCAACAACGTGTTCAGAACTATGAGAAGACAAAGGTGAATCCTGAAAGATA